ATCAAAAGGCATGTTTGATAGCACAGAAAGCATGGGATCACATAAGTAATATGATGATAGTGGCCAAAATAGTTCTGTGCAGATAGGCGAAATTGGTAACTTTTTGAAGCAAATCCAGGTCCAGGCTTTGCCCACTTTCTGAACCGACTTCCCAAGCATGCCATGTTGCCAACCAGCAAGCCTTGAAAAATTTTAGAATGTCTCACCAGTCAGTCAAAAATTTCACCAGCCAGCACGAACAGATTATAGCCTTGAAATTTATTGGGATTGGGAATCACGGATTTATACCCTCAGACTTGGGTTGCTTTATCATCTGTGTGCCAGTGGGGTCATGAAGCTTGTATTTTGAATGCCTTTCTTTTGAATGTCTCCAGCAAAAATAAAACTGAAAGCAAAAGTGCCTGGCCTCTTAAGGAACCACAGTTCCCTCCTGCCCCAGGATGTGTCTTCATTTGGTTGAAATTGGAAACAGGGAATCTCCATATTCTCCAGCATGGGACTACTCTACATTCTCCTGCAGACTTATATCTCTATGTGCCACTCAAACTATCTTCTCGCGAGAAGAGGGCAGTTTTCCTTTTGTAATGGGGGGGAGGGGTGGACTGCAGGATTAGAGAGGGAGAGAGAGAGACAGACAGACAGACAGACAATCAGAGGGGAAGGAGGCAGGCAGGGAGGGAGCTGTGACTCATCCTGGAGCATTTTTCACTCGTCACAGACAAGTGGCTGAGTGCATTTTTCAAGCCCTGCCAACCAGCCCTAGTTACATGATGTCATGAAGTGAAAATCACTGTCAAAGTAATGTTTTCTTATGCCACCTAAACAGGCAAATACTATAAATTAATTCCAAAGTTGTGGGGGAAAGAAAACTCTCTAGTGAGATTTTCCCACAAAAAGGCTACTGCACTTAACTCTAGATTGCTAGCAAAAGAGAACTGATCAGTACAATTTACATCATGTTATTTCAAAGCAGTTTAGCCCATTCAGTTTCATAGAGCTGTAAAACTTAGCAACATTTTAAAACATTCCCCATGAAAAGCTAACATATCTATACGTGCATCTTAGATCTATGTTTATATATATAAAAAATTTAAAAACGCATTTCCAGTATAGGTACTATTCAACCATAAAATAAGACTAGTATACATAACCTTGATTAGCTAATGGGATGCCCCGTGTGGTGGAGTGAAGAGAACGACAGACTATGACTCAGGAGTCCTGGGTTTGAATCACCACTCAGCCTTGGAAACTCACTAAGGGTGTGGAACAAGTAAAACTACGTCTTAAATATGTCATTTTCCTTGAAAGCCCTATTAGGGTGAATATAAGTTGGCTTTGACATAAAAACAACGAGCTAATTATTATTACCAGAACTTATGTTCTGATTTTGTCCTGAAATAAAATCTTTAGTTTTACTGATAGTGCAATAATATAACATCTACCCAGAAGAGATACTAAAAGCACACTCTGAGACTGTTCCAACATGAAGGAAAAATGGAAGATGTTTAAAAAAAAAACCAGAATGGTTGACTAAGGAACTTTCAACTCAGCTAAGTGTAAAAAAAAGAACAGGCACAAGAAATGGAAAAACGGGGAAAGCACCAAAGAGGAATACAAGCAAATAGCCAGTACATGTAGGGGATGGTAAAAAAAAGCTAAAGCACAGCATTAATTTAAGCTTGCTAGAGAGATTAAAGATAATAAAAAGGGATATTTTTAGTTATGTTGGAAGTAAAAGGAAAAAGAAGGAAATGACAGTGTATCTCTGTGGAGACTACCTCCTGGCTACCTTGGATGAATTTAAGTCTCCTGGGCCAGATGACTTACTTCTAAGGATATTAAAAGAACTGGCAGAAGTAATACAAGAACCATTGGCAATAATCTTTGAGAATTCTTGGAGAACAGGGAAAGTCTCCACAGACTGGAGGAGGGCAAATGTTGTCCCTATCTTCAAAAAGGGGGAAAAAAGAAGACCTAAATAATTATCACCCTGTCAAACCTACAGTTCAATGCATTCCAATGGGGGAGAAAAAAATTCACCAAAAATTAACGAAGAGTCAGAACAAAGCCAAATTAAGTTTGCAAAGGTTTTACAAGGTGCACTAACGATTCCAAGCATTTAAAACAGTTTTTGAACCTTTTAAGAAACTTTTAAAATAGCGAAAACGGACATCATTAAGCGAAACAGGGGGACATAAACTGTCATCGCTAAGCAAGGCAAGGTCCCGAACATCGCTATGCAAAATTTCCCCATAGGGAACATCGCTAAATGGAGCACAAAATCGCTCCAAAAACCTCATGGCTAAGTGAATGCATCGTTAAACGAGGCAATTGCTAAGCAAGGCACCACTGTGCGTGCAAAAGGTCAATGAACTCTACCAACCCACAAGGACAGGCGATCACTACACAGAAAAGACCAGCTAATGACACCCATCAACCACAGGAACAGATAATCTCTTCCCCTTAGCACAACAATACACCCACAACAATACACACTAATCACCCATCTACAGGAAAAGACAAAGGCCTATCACACAGCCATAAATACTGCACTCCCAAGCCAACTACACCAGAGTACAGGTTGCTGTCCTCTGAAGATGCCGGCCACAGAGACTGGCGAAACGTCAGGAAGAACAACCTTCAGAACACAGCCAAAGAGCCCGAAAAACCCAGAACAACCAATTGGGTAGTTTCATTTAGATGAATTTGTGTCAGGCTTGTGTGTGTGTGTGTGTGTAGTTAGTTAGTTAGTTAGTTAGTTAGTTAGTTAGTTAGTTAGTTAGTTAGTTAGTTAGTTAGTTAGTTAGTTAGTTAGTTAGTTAGTTAGTTAGTTAGTTAGTTAGTTAGTTAGTTAGTTAGTTAGTTAGTTAGTTAGTTAGTTAGTTAGTTAGTTAGTTAGTTAGTTAGTTAGTTAGTTAGTTAGTTAGTTAGTTAGTTAGTTAGTTAGTTAGTTAGTTAGTTAGTTAGTTAGTTAGTTAGTTAGTTAGTTAGTTAGTTAGTTAGTTAGTTAGTTAGTTAGTTAGTTAGTTAGTTAGTTAGTTAGTTAGTTAGTTAGTTAGTTAGTTAGTTAGTTAGTTAGTTAGTTAGTTAGTTAGTTAGTTAGTTAGTTAGTTAGTTAGTTAGTTAGTTAGTTAGTTAGTTAGTTAGTTAGTTAGTTAGTTAGTTAGTTAGTTAGTTAGTTAGTTAGTTAGTTAGTTAGTTAGTTAGTTAGTTAGTTAGTTAGTTAGTTAGTTAGTTAGTTAGTTAGTTAGTTAGTTAGTTAGTTAGTTAGTTAGTTAGTTAGTTAGTTAGTTAGTTAGTTAGTTAGTTAGTTAGTTAGTTAGTTAGTTAGTTAGTTAGTTAGTTAGTTAGTTAGTTAGTTAGTTAGTTAGTTAGTTAGTTAGTTAGTTAGTTAGTTAGTTAGTTAGTTAGTTAGTTAGTTAGTTAGTTAGTTAGTTAGTTAGTTAGTTAGTTAGTTAGTTAGTTAGTTAGTTAGTTAGTTAGTTAGTTAGTTAGTTAGTTAGTTAGTTAGTTAGTCTGTTTCCTGTTAGTTAGCCTGTTTTCTTCAGGCTGATTGTTAGTCCAAAGTCTTGGCAGGCCTTGCTAAAATGATTCATGAGTTGTTGGAGGTCTTCAGCAGAGTGGGCAACAATGGCTGCATCATCTGTGAAGAGGAGGTCCCGTATGCATTTCAGTTGGACTTTGGTCCTTGCTCTCAATCTAGAGATTAAAGAGCTTTCCGTCTGATCTAGCCCAGAGATAGACACCTTCGGTTGCAGTTCCAAAGGCATGCTTCAGCATGATGGCAAAGAAGATCCCAAAAAGGGTTGGTGTGAGGACACAGCCCTGTTTCACTCCGCTTCGGATGTCAAAGGGATCTGATGTTGAGCCGTCAAGAACTACAGTGCCTTTCATTCCCTCATGGAAGGATCTGATGTTGTTAAGGAGACAAGGTGGACATTCAATCTTGGGAAGTATTTTAAAAAGGCCATCCCTGCTAACCAAAGGCCTTTGTGAGATCTATGAAGGCCACAAAGAGTGGCTGTTGTTGTTCCCTGCATTTATCCTCTGTGTGTGTGTACATATACATATACACATATACACATACACACACACACACACACACAAGCCTGACACAAATTCATCTGAATGAAACTACCCAATTGTTCCTCCATTATCTTCGGCCTATCATCAAACAACTGTTTAATTCACTTGGCTGTGTGATTTTTGCAGATGCAGTGATATCAGTGGTGAGCAAAACCATGGTGGTAGCCACAGCCAACTGGATTAGAGCCCATAATAGTAAATATGAGTGAAGTACTTAAAAGGGGGGGGGGGAAATGATGCCAAGCATTAGCAACTAGTGAGACAATAGAAGTAATCAGAAGCACTCAACAATGCAAATGGCTATGTGTAAGCTTTTCTGAAAATGTAATTAGTTTGGCCTCTTCACAATAAATATCAAAATGCAGGCAATAAAAATGGAAGCACGCCACATTCTTGACATTTGCATGCTCAGATAGAGGTTAGAATTAATCCTTGATATCAAGTAGTAAATCTTCAATAAATATCAGCAAGATCTTTCATATTTGAAGCCATAAACAAGGGGGAAACTGCTTATTCAAGACAGTCAATCTGGGACTTTAATCTGTCACCACAATACTAACAGTACAGCCAAAAAAAACAACAACCTCAAGCTTGTTATATATGTATATAAAAATACTAATTTTGACACAAAACTACTAAAATACATTGACTGTGTTCCAAATTCAGACTGCAGCCTTTCAACGAACAAAAAAGAAAGTTATAGAAACTGTGTTACTATGTCCAATGGCAGAAGGGAAAGCAAGTATTACTATGTAGCTTGATCTGTATACAAGGGAAAAAATCCAAAATGCAGTTTGATTCACATTTATGCAGATGTGCTGCTTTCAAAATGCAAATGACTTCAGAACACTTCTGCAACCAAAGATTGCTATGAAGCTATAAATGGATGCATAAACTTTGGCTGTTTCACTTACCCTATCTTCCTTTACTTCTTCAGTACCATCTACCTCCTCATCCTAGCAAAATTTTAAAAAGATGGATTAGATTACATTGTAACTCTTGAAGATTTCTATTATGGCAAGTACTGTACAAGCTAAATTTATAGAAACTGAAACCGAAATGTAGTTTAGCAGTGTTATTAACAATATTAATCCTTAGAACTATATAGGTGAATGACTATGTATCTCCATATAAGCAGGTGTTTCGATTACAAAGAAAACAAAAAACAAAATCCTGACTTTGAACACTACAGGTTGATGATAAATGACTACTGTGTTTCCAAATAGGGAATACTTTTCATTCTCTTAAAAAAAAAAGATATCTGAAAAGTCTTATAAACAGGGCCAATTTAGATACTATTTTGATCATGCTTCAAGCTATTTTGAGGATCAAGAGCATGCCATGAATTATGTATTTCCAAAAAAGACATGACTTACGTCATTTGTGAAGAATGAAATTCCTGTCCCTCTTCTCCTCTCTTTTGGTCGTCTCCTTTCTCTAACTGATTGCTTGTTTGAGGTTCTGTCATCCAAATCCTGATCTTCACATTCTGTCCAAAGAAACATAGCTTTAGCTAGAAAAAGTCATTAAAATTAGTTTATCAAACCTGTACAAATATTTTTAAATTCAGGCCAAATGCACCACCATGTGGACATTTGTTTAACCCTAAATGCCTATTCATATATACAGTATTTCGTGTTTTCTTCCAAGATATTAAATCAGCTGATTCTCCAATAGCAGGACTATGATATGGTCACACAAATATAATGTGAGCAAATAAAAATTCAGCCAAGGTTATCATGAGCCTTTAGAAGAGGTTGAACTCTCTTAATATGTTGTTTCTTTCCTTTGCTGATTCATGATGAGAAAAGTAGACACTGCCACAAAATTATTAAGACAAGTATCTCAAGCATGAGGGAGAAGGGTATAATGTATTAGATCTACTACTTAATATAGGTTATACTGGGCAACTCGAGGCCCTCTAGTTATCATTGAACTCCAGTTTCCATCAGCCCTAGTGGCCAATGATGAGACAACATGAAGCCCAGCATCTGAATATAATATAAATGTAATATAAACACTGGCTTCAAAGATTTGTAGCTTATAGGCTGAACTACAGTTGTGTAGCTACATGGGCATAAGTTTACGTAACACCTATGATAGCGACAATCACACCAAGGAAAATGTGGTATCCACAAGGCACTTCCACTGCTTCATTGGGCAATGGGTCAAGTGAGAATTGCACAACAAACTGCATAATTGCTTTGCACAGTCCTTGTTACCAGGATGGAACACCTGACACATATACAACAACATGTTATATTACATCTCAATAAACTGGACTCTGGTCAATTTTTTTAGTGCAGTAAATACCATTTTTCTCCATGTTTTCAGCAGATGTGCTCTGAATGTCTGTTGTGCTCACTGAGTCAGATGAAATTGTTCTACTTGTTCTGGGCAAGTGTGAACCTGAATAAAGATAAGGTGCTAATGAAGGAGCGATTGGGGTTGTGGGTTTGTCTTCTGCTGAGCACCTCAGTTGATGACCAACTGTCTGTAAAACAAAGGCATAAATATATGGTTAGTAACAGATAACTAGCAAAAGCATGAGAGCAACTACTAGTAAGATACAAAAAGCAATGTTGTTTCAGATGTATCTCATTATAGTGTCAAACAGAAGACCTCATGGCTGATCTACTTGTACTCAGTCTTGTGAATTATCACTAGGTATTTAGACTAAAGACCCCAATCTGAATTGCACTGAACAACCTGAATGCAGTTTTACTTATATAGGCAAAAAGACTTAACTGGACACATACAGTCACTGGTTGGGAAAGAAATCTTGGGATTATGATGAATAGTTGAATGAAATCATTTACCAGTATGCATCTGATGCGAAAATTGCAACTTTCATGATGGGTATCATCTGGATAAAATCTGAATATAAAACTACCAATAGCATAATGACTTTATATGAATACATGGTGCAAGCACAGTTGGAGTACTGAGCACATTTTTTACCTTATATGTCAAACAGGACACTGTAAAGCTAAAGAAGGTGCAAAAGATATAATGCTGACCACTACTCTGGGAAACTTTAAAAGGCAAGTTGCAAAAAAAAAACATGAAGGGCAAGCAATGATGTGGAAAGCAAAACAATATCTAAAATTTACTTATACATTTATTGAAATATAGTTGTGGCCCACTTAACGATTACCCCGTATAACGACAAATCCCTTCACGACAATGTTTTTGCAATTGCAATTGCGATCACAAAATGATGTTTTAATGGAGGGTTTGCACTTTGCGACGATCAGTTCCCTGCTTCGGGAACCGATTCTTCACATTACGACAATCAAAACAGCTCATCATTGGGTTTTCAAAATGTCCACCAGCTACTCAAAATGGCTCCCCACTGTTTTTAGGAGGCATTTTTCGCAAGACAGGCACCCGAAAATGGCCGCCGTATGGAGAATCTTTGCTGGACAATTAGGTATTTCACCCATTGGAATGCATTAACCAGTTTTTAATGCGTTTCAATGGGTTTTTAAATTTCAGTTAACCATGTTTTCGCTCTACAGTGATTTCGCTGGAATGAATTAATGTTGTCAAGTGAGGCACCACTGTATTATAAATTTAGTTATATACTTTGGATCTACAGTAATGCTGTTTCTACCAATATTTCCAACACAAAAGAATTTAACCTATTATACATCTCAAGCCATAAGTTGAGAGTATTTATCTCAAGCCATAAGTTGAGAGTATTTGTTCACCTCTTCATCCAAGTTTCTATTCCATCGTGAGCGAGTCTCCCTGTGTTCCCTAGCCACAGTGTCTTCCTGTCTTTCATTGCCTTCCTCAGTTGCTTCAACTCTTTCTGATTTTTCAACTGGCTGTTCCTGAGTCTGACGCTCTGTCCGAGATCGGCTAAAGGTCTTCTCTGCCTCCTGGAGATCTGTAAGTGTTATACCCTGAGGAACAAGAGAATGCTTTTGTTAACATTGCATTCCTTACATGACAGCTATGCCCCACTTCCAATTAGATTATTCTTTCCACAATGACAAAGCATGATGGGTCTAGTTTCTAATTAAAGGTCAGACCCAGGGAACAAAAAGCTAGCAATTGCCAGAATGGGTTAAATAATGTATTTTTCAAAAGGAACAAGAAATGTTAAATATGAAGTCACAGCAATCATTCTTGGATGGTGTTTTTATAAAACTGTTTTAGAAAGGATTACTCTTTCACAGTACAGTAACGGTGGCAAATGTTAGTTTGTCAACCATGAAGAAGTTAGCTTCCCAGGGACATATATTCCTTGTGTATCCTTTTATGAAGAAAAAACAATACCTCATAAACAGCTCTTAAAAACAAAACTTTAAACGGTCCTATGTACGTCAGCAATTCATGTCTTTAGAGATCAGAGAGATGAGAATGGAAATCTTTCAGAAGCAATATTCAGAAGGGGCATTTAATGAAAAAGGATAGATCAGAATTCCTTTACTCTGAAAAACATAGCGAAGTCCTAAGTACAGCAATTCATCCGAATAAAAAAGTACCTTATATCATTTCAACAGGTCATCATGAATTATTTTTCCTCACCTGTGTAGACCTGCGAGTCTGGCGAGCTTGCCTGGATCTTGCTTTTCTTAGAGACTCTGCTTCTTCATCTCGTACAGGAGTCAGGTAAGACCTAAAACAATGGTTAAAAAGAAAAAGGTACTTTAACATTGGGCACTTTTACGGTCATGTGAACAAGAAAGTACACCCTCTTTGAATTCTATGGTTTTATGTATCAGGACATAATAAAAATCATCTGGTCATTAGCAGTTCTGAAAATTAGGTAAATATAACCTCAGATGAACAACAACACATGACATGTTATACTGTGTCATGATTTATTTTACAAATATAAAGCTAAAATGAAGAAGCAGTTTGTAAAAAACAAAGTACACCCTTATTGCTTCCATAGGAATTAAGAGCATAGTAGCAGACAGGTGCTGCTAACCAAATGCCCTTGAGTAACTGATCATCAGGAAATGTGACCACCTTTATAAAAGCCAAAGTTTTCTCAGTTTGCTGGTCTGGAACATTCAGGTGTGCATTAACATAATACCAAGGAGGAAACACATCAGCAATGATTGTAGAGAAGCAATTGTTGCTGCCCATCAATCTGGAAAGGGTTATAAGACCATTTCCATACAATTTGAAGTCGATCATTCTACACTAAGGATGATTAATCATGAGTGGAAAACAGCCAGGACAGTTGCCCATCTTCCCAGGAATGGACATCCAAGCAAATTCTCCCCAAGGTCAGACTTAGTTTTTCATACATGGCTTCTCTATTTTGGCTTTAATTTTGTGAAAAAAATGATGACACAGTGTAATATGTCATGTGTTGTTGTTCATCTGAGGTTTTATTTCCCTAATTTTCAGATATAAAAAGGGGGAAAAAAACAACCAAAGTGGTTCACAATGTTACAAACTAAGGGAAACAAATCAGAAAGCAAAGTGTGCTGATTATATACTACCCCATAGTGCTTAAAGCACTCTCAGAGTGGTTTACAATTTAATTATGCAGATTACATATCATCCCCCCCCCTCCAAACAACAAGCAGGGTACTCATTTTACCAGCCTCAGAAAGCTGGGAAGCTGAGTCAACCTTAAGCTAGCTACCTCAGCCCAGTATCAAGCTCAGATTTTGAGCAGTCTTGACTGCAGTACTCAGTTTAACCACTGGGCCACAAGGCATCATGAGAAAGAATGGATGAACAATAACAAACTGTTTAAAATTCTACTGTACAGCTCACCATATGCAACAGGAACAATGTCATTGTCACTGGCAGATTGCTGCTGATTAAAACTCCTTTTTCTATTTTAGGGTGTGCATAGCTCACACACAAAGATACAAGATTTAAAAAGCAAATCTTTAAACATCAGTAATCTGCCATGGACAATGACATCATTCCCACTATTCAGGATGAGCCCACACAACACGATTCCAGCCAATATTTAATTGAGATCACTGGATAACTGACAATATTAGAGATCGGTCAAATACCGAGCACACAAGTAAGCCTTCAGTTACAGTACTTGGTGGAGCAACATGACTCATTGGATATCAATCTAACCTCAATGGGGATACGCCAGATCTGAGCACTACAAGAGAAAAGGTCTGCTTCCCCATTGTAATCAAATGAATCTCACTAGTAAGGTTCATTTAACTGTGGTGCAGTCACTCATAGAGGGCCTCTCAAAGTGATCTATGCAGAATATGGAAGTACATTAGAAAACCAATCCTGATATGGGAATATCCTTATCGCCCAGGAATAACACCCTGAACAGAAATTATTTCTCAGCAGTCTCAAGAATCCACTATCATATGCTAAAAACATGACTAAACATTGACTTTACTTCTATTCTAGAGCTGGTTCTTACCATCAAGTAAGAACTAACTGGTCAATGGAAAATTAGGATGAAACTGGTCATGTTGTCTTGGAACTTATTATACTGAGGAAAAGGAAAACTGAGAGTAATATGCATTCTAGACTTTGAGAAAGCTGATTTCAGCAATCTTAAAGAAACAAGGAGATCAAATAGTCAAAAATACTTAGTGAAATGAGAATATACATAGGAGTGTGTAACAAAGGAGGGATGTGAAACTAGAGTGAGGTAGGTAAATTAATGAAAGAGACGATATAAGCTGGTCATGTGATCTGCTTTTAAAGAAATGTTATCATTTTTGCATCATAGTAGAAAAAGATTAAAATTAGAAAGCATTGCTGTGAAAATGTGAAAGTCTGAGAATGGTAGGAAAGATCAAAAAAGAGGAAAGTGAAGAAAGTGTGAAGTAAGTACAGAGAGGGTGGAAAAAGATAGGCAAAAGAGGATCTGCTGAGTGGACAGGTGGTACCGGGAAGACACAGAATATTGAAGTACAGTGGTGCCCCGCTGGACGATTACCCCGCTTGACGCCAAATCAGCTTAATGCTGAAGTTTTTGCGATTGCTTTTGGGATCGCAAAATGATGTTTACATGGGGGAATTTCACTTAACATTGATCGGTTCCCTGTTTTGGGAACCGATTTTTTGCTTTGCGACAATCAGCAAACAGCTGATTGTCAGGTTTCAAAATGGCCTCCAGCTGTAGAAAATGGCTCCCCGCTGTGTTAGGGACGGATTCCTCGCATTACAGGCACCAGAAAATGGCCACCATATGGAGGATCTTCACTGGACGAGCAGGTATTTCGCCCATTGGAATGCATTGAATGGTTTTCAATGCGTTCCAATGGGTTTTTTTTTATTTCGCTTGATGACGATTTCGCTCTACAGCGATTTCGCTGGAACAAATTAATATCGTCAAGTGAGGCACCACTGTATATCTGGCTACAAATACCCTCCCCATGTGTGGAAGCCAATACCAGCATGATCTTTTCAAATCTATTCAAATATGCAAGAAAAATACCAGATACAATTTTGTGCAACCCCAGAACAACTAGGACAACATAATAACATGGATGAGCCCATGTTTATGCTGCATAAGCAAAGCTGTTTAGAGCCGTTCATTGGATGGATATCTTTTTAAGAACCAGAAGACAGATCAAGTACAGAAATAATTAATATTTTGACTGGAAAAAAAAGGATGTATAAGGGCCTTCTCTTTGGCTTCCAATGTCACATTTACTGGCCATTCCAATTACATACATACCTCAAAGGTGTTCAATTTACCATATATACTCGAATATAAGCCGACCCAATATAAGCTGAGACACCCAGTTTTACCACTGGAAAAACTTAATGACTTGAGTATAAGCCGAGGGTGGAAAATGCAGCAGCTACTGGTAAATTTCAAAAATAAAAATAGATACCAATAAAATTACATTAATTGAGGCATAAGTAGGTTAAATGTTTTTGAAGATACTGCCCTTCTGAGCTGTGAGACACACTTCACTGCCTGCAGAGGGAGGACTCATACCGGATGCTGTACTTAACTACTGCTCTACTGCTGCGTACAAGATGGAGGGAGACGGAGGATGGGGGAAGAAGGTGGGAGGAGGAAGGTTGGTACATAGAATATGCAGGAGGAGGAGGATGGGAGTGTCCTGGAAGCGGAAATGCAGTGTACTTAACCTGGGTCATCGGACCACCCACAGAGGCTGCAGGCGCCTTTAGATGAGCGGGGGAGTCCAGAGAACAGCTGCACTGCAGGGGAGAACATGTAATTTTGACCTGACTCAAGTATGTCGAGGGGGGTGATTTTTCAGCAAAAAAAAAATGTGCTGAAAAACTAGGCGTATACTCAAGCATATACAGTAATTTTTTTAAAATAAAAATTAAACTGAACAGAATATACTCAAGCATATACAGTAATTTTTTAAAATAAAAATTAAACTGAACAGAAATTTATCTATGTTCCTATGGATGATACATGATGTGCAGACATAACATTTAAGATACAAGTTTCTACATGTGCTTTAGATACAGGAAGAACAATATCCAATGAATCTGAAGTATTTGATAAACAGCAGGTGCTAAAAAAATTTAAGGATATCAAGATATTGGCTTATGTGCGTCACAATGTCTTTAGACTCATTTGTCTTAAAGCATGCATCTCTGGTTTAAGAACAGATCTGGCAGTTCTGAAAAATAGTTTTGTTTCATCTTTAATATGTAAAATTTCACTTTTTACAAGTTTTTATTTTCCATAAGAATAGAAGTTGATGAGGTACAGATAGGGGATGGAGTAAAAAAAAGGGGGGGAGGATGGGAAAGGGTAAAATTCCAGAGAGAGAGTTCTTACATATACAATTATATTAAAAAGAGAAATCATACAAAGATAAAAATTCAAAACAATATTAAGGTTCCAATGGTATTTGTAGTGATGAATGCAAGAGGTCAAAAAACCTATTTGAACTACTCTTTTCACAACGCAGTATCACAAATGATGAAAGAAGAAGGGATTAGACAGTATTTCACTGAATAGTCTATTAATGTGCAGAAAGCACTTACATAAAGCAAAGAATACTGCCCAAGAAAAAAGGTAAGTACCTTCAAACATCTACCCTAAATCAATATTAACAAACACACAAATTTAGCATTCTACGAGGCAAGAGAAGAAAGATTTCAGATGAAAACAGACTGACAATTTCATCTTATGTTCCAACCATTTGCTGCATGCAAACTGCAGTTCTAAAACATTCCCAACATATAGTACTTTCATTCTCTTTGGCATTTATCTTACATTTCCACTCAAGCTAATCCTGTATGTCTTTATAAAGCCAATTTACTTGCCAATCTACTTTAACCTCTTTCTTTCCCCATTGTTTCAATAACAACAGTAGTAGTAGTAGTAGTAGTAGTAGTAGTAGTAGTAGTAGTAGTAATAATAATAATAATAATAATAATAATAATAATAATAATAATAATAATAAT